GTATCGACAGCTGCAGTCAGCAAGGACTGACGGGGTCTTGTGTGGAGCATTTGTTCTACTGGTAATTGATTCTAATGATTTGACTTTGTTTCATTAAAATAAATGTCCTTAAATCAGCTCGCCTGGCATTCACTAATACAATGGCTTTTTACAATCGTCATCCTGCTACGATAATTGCCTAAGTCACAAATAAGTGAAAATTTTATTTTTTGCCTAAGTCAACCACTACAGTATTGTGTATCTGCTGCAAAATTGTCCAAGTCATTTGACCAATCACAGAGCTGTTTCAGTGCAGTGTTGTAATTCTGCCTTTGTCAAGTGTGTGAGTTAGGCAAATTTCACTCTGTATGTAAAGATGTCTGAACGTGTAAAACGCGGGACTACATTCACTGTAGAAGAAGCTGTAGACATGATACACTCTACAGACACAATTGGTAAGCTATTTTGTTACTTTATGGTACTGTATGGATATTTAATTGATAGTTTAAATGCTATTTTTCAAGGTGTATCTAGGACTTCCTTGTCTAGGCCTAACCATGTGCAGGCCTACTGTAGCTAGCAGGCTGGTAGCTAGCCATGTGTGCAGAATGTATGCAGAAGTCGGCACATGGTTGTAATCAGTACAGCTGTAATCTTACTTGTAAACTGAATACTATTTAGCAATGCTTATCATTTTTATTATGATGACTATTTCTAATGTTTGCTGCAAAGTAATACCGCATTAGATGTCTTTGCAATTTTTGTAGACAACTTTGACTAAATCTAGGTCAAACAGTCTAGACGATTTTTTTGTTTGACAAACATAAAAATGTACGCCTACAATGCTACGTACATAATGGGTAAAGTTTGGCTAGGCTAGCTAGCTAGGCCTAGGCCTCTCACAGCAGTTTAATAAGGTCGGCAAAAACATGCCGTCCGGTGACAGTTTGAGGTCGGCAATAAGGTCGGCAATTGACGATTGCCGACCGCCGACCTGAAATTCAAGGGTTGTAGACCTATGCCTATTTAAATTAGATGTTTCAAGTGTTTGTATCTTTGTTTTGATTTTTAGTAGATGGGCCTACCTACCGCCCGGTCAGTAGAGATTAATCTGGATTAATTAAGGTCGCCAACTGTGTTGTAATTTAAATTTAATAAAAATATAAAAGAAGCAACATAAATCGCATGATGTCGGTGATGTGGAACCAAATTTACTTTGCCGTAATATTTTTAATATAGGCCTAGGCCTAAATCTGTTTTTACATACCTTAGGAGGATTACGATCTATTTTGTTTATCAATCATTAGTAGGCCTACATCATCTTGTTTTTTTCTCTCAGGGAGTGAACTTGATAACTCAGATGTGGATACAAACTACATTCCTACTGATGGTGAATCAACCTTGGATAGTGAGCCTGAATCAGCTGACGCAGATGATAATGCTGATGATGATATTGAATCAGCTGACGCAGATGATAATGCTGATGATGATATTGAATCAGCTGACGCAGATGATAATGCTGATGATGATATTGAAGCAGCTGATGCAGATGATAATGCTGATGAAGATATTGAAGCAGATGATAATGCTGATGAAGATATTGAAGCAGATGATGCAGATGATAATGCTGATGAAGGTACTAAGCCGAAGCGACGTAAACGTCCAGCGGTAGCAAAATGAAGTCATCAAAGTACTAAAGGCTAAACGTTTAAAAGGGAGGCTTTCAAATCTGCAAAGGGAAGGAGAGACGCGCAACAAAAATGGGACCCCCTTGTCGATCTGAATTCTTGCCGCAAATCAAATCTGCGAAGTTGCCAGTCCTTGAGTGAGGAACAGCGGCAAAGATCTTTGACAGATTCTGCTCAATGATGTCCTGGAAGAGACGTAGATCAAATGTACATACTTTGGTAA